TGATGGTTGTGGTGTAGTAATAGTGTGGTGGTGGTGGTGTAGTAACAGTGTGATGGTTGTGGTGTAGTAACAGTGTGATGGTTGTGATGTAGTAACAGTGTGGTGGTTGTGGTGTAGTAACAGTGTGATGGTTGTGTAGTAACAGTGTGGCATGCAAAGAGTACGTAACCTTTATTCGGCGCATGTACACACCCTCATTTACAGGCTATCTCCCCCAACCAGCGAACCAGGTTGCTAAGAGTTGATGATGGGGCCCCGTCGTTCAACTAGTGACCAGGTTCTAGCCAATAAGAAGATGGGTTTGGCAATCGCAGAGGTTATGTGGGTACCGCTCTCCTGTCTGCCCTTGTCATTCCCATTCTAGAGCTGGTTGAAGCACGGTCTGCTATCTTGTGGCTTCTATTTCTGCCTTGCTTACCGTGGAGTGCACTATACTTATCACTGTACATAATGTACATATTGCTGTTCTAAATTGGTGAAGGATAATATAAGTCTAAACTTTTTCTGCTGTGTTTATTTTGCTCCCATTACACCCGGGATAACAGGCCATTTGGAATCCTGGGTTGTAATATGGGTAGCCTGTCCGAGAGCTGGAGCTGGACTTAGAGAAACGGTTGAGCTTAGGGTGAAGCTCGTAGCAGGAACATTGTGCAGCTTGCTGTCTGGCATTGCATTAGCTTTGCCTACGCTTAACAGCTCGCTACTAGCTTGTTCGGTGTGCTCGCTTTGCTACGGTCAATTTTCTAGAACAGTGTAGCTGTCTGGCATTGCTTTACAAATTTTGCGTGTCAGTTGTTACTAGCCTGTTCGGTGTGGAGAATTTTGCAGTCGGCTTTGCTTGTATGCGTATTCTGCAATCGTACTATGCATAGCTAAGCGTGTTCTGCAAATTAACGTGTTACGTTGGGGTATTCTGCAATCGTACTGTGCATAGCGAATAACTTATGCCACCTAGACGAGTCAGACGTCTGGTGTCGGCATATACTTTGCATAACATACCTAAATTGTCCCTACAGCGTTGTTGGCAAATTGCTCGTTCCATTGGCATTATGCTACAAACGCACTCTCACAGCTGCGCAACTGGGTTCACTGATTGCTGACAAACTTTCAGAAGAAGAGATGGCACATCAGACTCCTCCCTCTACGGGAGCTAGGGCCCAAAAACTCCTATGTTCTCGCACGAGGAAGATGATACACCTACGGAGCAAAATGGTCAGTATAGTGCAGCTGGGTTGTCTCAGGGTGAATCAGGGTCGTTGGCACTTGAGCTGGCAAAAATCAATCTTGAGCAAACTAGGGAACAGAGAGCATTCGCAAGGGAAGAATTTGATAGGGAAAGAGAAAGGAGGCAGTTGTGAGTCTGGGGTTGGGGCAGTACTATTACAAATCGGGAACGAGGAGTTGCAGCCTGTAGCATACTTTTAGCCATGAAGAACCACAACACAAGGCTTATGCGCTGGACGCTAAGGCTGCAGCCCTGTAATATTTCCATTAAATATATTGCCGGCAAAGAAAATATGTTGGCAGACTCTTTATCTAGAGTCTAATATTTTTATTTATTTAGGTTAGGATGTTATTTGTGGTAACCCCTTTTCACGCTCTTTTTTTTTTATCCCCTGGTGTGGGGTTTTTTTTTTAGTGAGGGGATGCGGGCTACCGTCCGCCTGTATCTTGGACCTATGCTAGCCTGTCTGACTGCTGTCTCACTCTAAGTTTTGGGTTTGGCTTTTGGTCACGAGAAAAGCTGAGCTCTATCTAAGAGTTGGATGGTGGAGAGGAAAGGCGGTCCCATTATTTTGTGCCATGGCGGCACGGTTACCACTGGGAGGTGGCAGCCTAATCCTGAGCCTTCTCGGGGTGGGGGTTGTGGCATACAAAGAGTACGTAATCTTTATTCGGCGCATGTACACACCCTCATTTACAGGCTATCTCCCCCAACCAGCGAACCAGGTTGCTAAGAGTTGATGATGGGGCCCCGTCGTTCAACTAGTGACCAGGTTCTAGCCAATAAGAAGATGGGTTTGGAAATCGCAGAGGTTATGTGGGTACCGCTCTCCTGTCTGCCCTTGTCATTCCCATTCTAGAGCTGGTTAAAGCACGGTCTGCTATCTTGTGGCTTCTATTTCTGCCTTGCTTACCGTGGAGTGCACTATACTTATCACTGTACATAATGTACATATTGCTGTTCTAAATTGGTGAAGGATAATATAAGTCTAAACTTTTTCTGCTGTGTTTATTTTGCTCCCATTACACCCGGGATAACAGGCCATTTGGAATCCTGGGTTGTAATAAACACTGTGATGGTTGTGATGTAGTAACAGTGTGGTGGTGGTGGTGTAGTAACAGTGTGATGGTGGTGGTGTAGTAACAGTGTGATGGTTGTGGTGTAGTAAAAGGGTGGTGGTGGTGGTGTAGTAACAGGGTGGTGGTGGTGGTGTAGTAACAGTGTGATGGTGGTGTAGTAACAGTGTGATGGTTGTGATGTAGTAACAGTGTGATGGTTGGTGATGTAGTAACAGTGTGGTGGTTGTGGTGTAGTAACAGTGTGATGGTTGTGTAGTAACAGTGTGATGGTTGTGGTGTAGTAACAGTGTGATGGTTGTGATGTAGTAACAGGGTGGTGGTGGTGTAGTAACAGGGTGGTGGTGGTGTAGTAACAGGTGTGATGGTGGTGGTGTAGTAACAGTGTGATGGTTGTGATGTAGTAACAGTGTGATGGTTGTGGTGTAGTAACAGGGTGGTGGTGGTGTAGTAACAGTGTGATGGTGGTGGTGTAGTAACAGTGTGATGGTTGTGGTGTAGTAACAGTGTGATGGTTGTGATGTAGTAAACAGTGTGATGGTTGTGGTTGTAGTAACAGGGTGGTGGTGGTGTAGTAACAGTGTGATGGTGGTGGTGTAGTAACAGTGTGATGGTGGTGGTGTAGTAACAGTGTGATGGTGGTGGTGTAGTAACAGTGTGATGGTTGTGATGTAGTAACAGTGTGATGTAGTAACAGTGTTATGGTTGTGGTGTAGTAACAGTGTGATGGTGGTGGTGTAGTAACAGTGTGATGGTTGTGATGTAGTAACAGTGTGATGGTTGTGGTGTAGTAACAGGGTGGTGGTGGTGTAGTAACAGTGTGATGGTGGTGGTGTAGTAACAGTGTGATGGTGGTGGTGTAGTAACAGTGTGATGGTGGTGGTGTAGTAACAGTGTGATGGGTTGTGATGTAGTAACAGTGTGATGTAGTAACAGTGTTATGGTTGTGGTGTAGTAACAGTGTGATGGTGGTGGTGTAGTAACAGTGTGATGGTTGTGATGTAGTAACAGTGTGATGGTTGTGATGTAGTAACAGTGTTATGGTTGTGGTGTAGTAACAGTGTGATGGTTGTGGTGTAGTAACAGTGTGATGGTTGTGATGTAGTAACAGTGTTATGGTTGTGGTGTAGTAACAGTGTGATGGTTGTGTAGTAACAGTGTTATGGTTGTGGTGTAGTAACAGTGTGATGGTTGTGTAGTAACAGTGTGATGGTGGTGGTGTAGTAACAGTGTGATGGTTGTGTAGTAACAGTGTGATGGTTGTGGTGTAGTAACAGTGTGATGGTTGTGGTGTAGTAACAGTGTGATGGTTGTGGTGTAGTAACAGTGTGATGGTTGTGGTGTAGTAACAGTGTGGTGGTGGTGGTGGTGTAGTAACAGTGTGGTGGTGGTGGTGGTGTAGTAACAGTGTGATGGTTGTGGTGTAGTAACAGTGTGATGGTTGTGATGTAGTAACAGTGTGATGGTGGTTGTGTAGTAACAGTGTGATGGTTGTGGTGTAGTAACAGTGTGATGGTTGTGGTGTAGTAACAGTGTGATGGTGGTGGTGTAGTAACAGTGTGATGGTGGTGGTGTAGTAACAGTGTGATGGTGGTGGTGTAGTAACAGTGTGATGGTGGTGGTGTAGTAACAGTGTGGTGGTGGTGTAGTAACAGTGTGATGGTGGTGGTGTAGTAACAGTGTGGTGGTGGTGTAGTAACAGTGTGGTGGTGGGGGTGGTGTAGTAACAGTGTGATGGTGGTGGTGTAGTAACAGTGTGGTGGTGGTGTAGTAACAGTGTGATGGTTGTGGTGTAGTAACAGTGTGATGGTGGTGGTGTAGTAACAGTGTGGTGGTGGTGTAGTAACACTGTGGTGGTGGTGTAGTAACAGTGTGATGGTGGTGGTGTAGTAACAGTGTGGTGGTGGTGTAGTAACAGTGTGATGGTGGTGGTGTAGTAACAGTGTGGTGGTGTAGTAACAGTGTGGTGGTGGTGTAGTAACAGTGTGGTGGTGGGGGTGGTGTTAGTAACAGTGTGGTGGTGGGGATGGTGTAGTAACAGTGTGATGGTGGTGGTTGTAGTAACAGTGTGATTGGTGGTGTGTAGTAACAGTGTGGTGGAGGTGGTGTAGTAACAGTGTGATGGTGGTGGTGTAGTAACAGTGTGATGGTGGTTTAGTAACAGTGTGATGGTGGTGGTGTAGTAACAGTGTGATGGTTGTGGTGTAGTAACAGTGTGGTGGAGGTGGTGTAGTAACAGTGTGGTGGAGGTGGTGTAGTAACAGTGTGATGGTGGTGGTGTAGTAACAGTGTGATGGTGGTGGTGTAGTAACAGTGTGTTGGTGGTGTAGTAACAGTGTGATGGTGGTGGTGTAGTAACAGTGTGATGGTGGTGGTGTAGTAACAGTGTGTTGGTGGTGTAGTAACAGTGTGATGGTGGTGGTGTAGTAACAGTGTGATGGTGGTGGTGTAGTAACAGTGTGATGGTGGTGGTGTAGTAACAGTGTGTTGGTGGTGGTGTAGTAACAGTGTGATGGTGGTGGTGTAGTAACAGTGTGATGGTGGTGGTGTAGTAACAGTGTGATGGTGGTGGTGTAGTAACAGTGTGGTGGTGGTGTAGTAACAGTGTGTTGGTGGTGTAGTAACAGTGTGATGGTGGTGGTGTAGTAACAGTGTGATGGTGGTGGTATAGTAACAGTGTGTTGCTTGTCGTGTTACAGGGGGGTTGAGTACTACGGCCGCTGTCAAAATACAGTTGCTGGATGTGAACGACAACCGCCCCACCTTCTATCCTCAGCAGTACAACGTGTCGCTGCGGGAGCAACACAAGTCGTCCAGCTCCCCGGTCGTCGTGGTCGTCGCCACGGACAAGGATGCTGGTATCTACGGACAGGTGAGTCTGCTAAGATGTTCGTGTATTGTAGCAACGCTGACTCACGCGGAGTGTGCAAGATGTATGTTAAAAATTATGTTAAGATGTCTTCTTTGTTAAGATGTCTTCTTTGTTAAGATGTCTTCTTTGTTAAGATGTCTTCTTTATTAAGATGTCTTCTTTATTAAGATGTCTTCTTTGTTAAGATGTCTTCTTTATTAAGATGTCTTCTTTATTAAGATGTCTTCTTTGTTATGATGTCTTCTTTGTTATGATGTCTTCTTTGTTAAGATGTCTTCTTTGTTATGTCTTCTTTGTTATGATGTCTTCTTTGTTATGTCTTCTTTGTTATGTCTTTAAGATGTCTTCTTTGTTAAGATGTCTTCTTTGTTATGTCTTCTTTGTTAAGATGTCTTCTTTATTAAGATGTCTTCTTTGTTAAGATGTCTTCTTTGTTATGTCTTCTTTGTTATGTCTTCTTTGTTATTTCTTCTTTGTTATGTCTTCTTTGTTATGTCTTCTTTGTTATGTCTTCTTTTTTATGATGTCTTCTTTGTTATGATGTCTTCTTTGTTATGATGTCTTCTTTGTTAAGATGTCTTCTTTGTTATGTCTTCTTTGTTATGATGTCTTCTTTGTTATGTCTTCTTTGTTATGATGTCTTCTTTGTTATGTCTTCTTTGTTAAGATGTCTTCTTTGTTAAGATGTTTCTTGTTAATGTCTTCTTTGTTATGATGTTTTTTTTTTTTTTTTTTTTTTTTTTTTTTCTTTTTATGTCTTTTTTTTATTCTTTTTTGTTATGATGTCTTCTTTGTTATGATGTCTTTTTTGTTATGATGTCTTTTTTTATGTCTTCTTTGTTATTTTTGTTATGTCTTCTTTGTTATGATGTCTTTTTTGTTATGATGTCTTCTTTGTTAAAGTCTTCTTTGTTATGATGTCTTCTTTGTTATGTCTTCTTTGTTATGATGTCTTCTTTGTTATGATGTCTTCTTTGTTATGTCTTCTTTGTTATGATGTCTTCTTTGTTTTGATGTCTTCTTTGTTATGATGTCTTCTTTATGATGTCTTCTTTGTTGATGTCTTCTTTGTTATGATGTCTTCTTTGTTTATGTCTTCTTTGTTATGTCTTCTTTTTATGATGTCTTCTTTGTATGATGTCTTCTTTGTTATGATGTCTTCTTTGTTAAAAGTCTTCTTTGTTATGTCTTCTTTGTTATGATGTCTTCTTTGTTATGATGTCTTTTTTTGTTTCTTTGTTATGTCTTCTTTGTTAAGATGTCTTCTTTGTTATGTCTTTTTGTTATGATGTCTTCTGTTATGTTCTTCTTTGTTATGTTGTCTTTGTTATGATGTCTTCTTTGTTATGATGTCTTCTTTGTTATGTCTTCTTTGTTATGATGTCTTCTTTGTTATGATGTCTTCTTTGTTATGATGTCTTCTTTGTTATGTCTTCTTTGTTATGATGTCTTCTTTGTTAAGATGTCTTCTTTGTTATGATGTCTTCTTTGTTATGATGTCTTCTTTGTTATGATGTCTTTTTGTTATGATGTCTTTTTTGTTTGATGCTTCTTTGTTATGATGTCTTCTTGTTAAGATGTCTTCTTTGTTATGATGTCTTCTTGTTAGAGTTGTCTTCTTTGTTAGATGTCTTCTTTCGTTATGATGTCTCTTCTTTTATGCTCTTGGTTAAAGATGATTCTTCTTAGATGCTAGTCTACATGTTCAGGTGTCTTGGTTGTAGATGTCTTCCTTTGTTTAGATTGTAAGTGTCTTTCGTAGTCTCCTGTTAATGCTCAATTAAACTCGTCCCCTCGGATTTTTCTGCTTGGGACCTGGAAACTTTCTTTATTTAAATATGTCCTAGGTTATTAGAGATTTCAGGTGACAATGTTAAGGTGTGTTAGGTGTAGAGTCTCCCTGTTTGTATAGTCCTAGGTGTCTTGCGTAATCACAGTATAGCACAGTGCTAAATAAACTCAGTACCCTCGGGTGATCGGTTTATGAGGGCGCTTGGGCAAAGAGCCTGAAAAATTCTCGGAGTCTTCTAAAATGACCTAATGCCGTTTCTTGCCAGATTCCCCCCATTGGTAGATTTCTATTTGATTGGTTTAAGTGTCCGTATAAGTCGTTCAGATTGTCTGTAGAGTCTTAGATTCGTAGGTGTCTTGCTGTAAGGTATCTCAGCTTGGTAACGCGACTCAGTCTAGATTACCAGTAACATGCTCTGATTCCCGGTCTTCAGATGTGTGGGACGCGGTAGATCACGAGTTGAAAGTCTCGTGAGAGTTCCATTGGCCCCGTTGACTTACTCAATGTCCGCTCTGCCAGCTCCGTCACCCATAACAGGGAATTCAGTGTATAGATTTGGAAATAATCGGGTTTCTCATGCTTATCTCGAGAATGTGTCAGGTTGAACCCTGTGTAGTGTGTTGGTATTAGAGTTTCTAGTTCTTGCGAACGCGCTATACCAAGGTTTTGTTAACTACATGCCACTTAAGCAGGTGATTATGGGTTCGTGGGTGTGGTATGACGCTGGTATCTTCCGCATCAACGGTAGATCTGGTGAGAATCTTTTGTCAACGAGCGTCTCTCAAGGCCCACCCGATGTACCATCAATGTCTCAGCTCGTGACGGAGCGGGTCTCAGGTTTAAACACCATCACCCACAGTGGTATTGTAAGTTATGAAAATACAGGGGTGGTAGTGTTAAGCTAATATAAGTGTGCGAGAGTCTTAAACCGTGGTTGATGTGAAGAGATTCAGTCTTAGGAGAACCTGACTATATCAACAGAGTTTTGGTGGTATATGACTGCCCTAGCATTAAGAGCGGTGTGTTGTGTCTCTGCAGGTCTGTGGTGGACGCCGAGGTAGCCATCTCTGTCATTGACACCAACCAGGAGCCGCCTATCTTCGAGAAGCCCCGCTACACTTTCGGCGCCAACGAGAGCGTTCCTCAAGGCTCCGTCGTCGGCACCGTCACTGCCACCTCCAGCGGTAGAGGTGAGTGGAAAGGAGGGACAAAAAGATAAAAGAAGAGGTTTATCCATGCCAGGTTTACTCTCGAGGAATATTTAAGGTTCCAATGATGACGTCGGTTTATTAGTTTTTAAAGTCTATTAATTACTCGAGGACCGTTAAGGTTACTTGTTACGTCCAGTCAAGGATACTTGAATCGCTAAAATAGGGGTTAAAGTAGAGTCTCAACTTAAATACACAGATTTACACTCCTCACAGTATATATAACCTTGAAAAAAGAAGTATTTTACAAAGAGCAGTGTAACTTTGCACAGTTGTTGTAAGTACAGATGCAACAGATATACAGTATGTATTACCTAGTGTTTAGTTTGATAGCTCTGTTATACCACATACCACCAGTTCTACAAACAAGGTATATACCAGCAGACGTATGAAAGATACGCTTTTGCAGCGTGAGATAAATTTAAGAACATAAGAAAAAAGGAATACTGCAACAGGCTTACTGACCCATGCGGAGCAGGTCCACGTTCCCCCCCCCCCCCCGATTAGACTAATGACCCCCCCCGGATTAGCCCAATGACCCAATCAGTCTGGTCACCTCCACTCAAGGATGGAGCACGGCACCAGACCCAGCAGCACAAGCTAGTCAGGTCCAACTCACACCCACCCACACCCACTCATGTATTTATCTAACCTATTTTTAAAACTACACAACGTTTTAGCCTGAATAACTGTACTCGGGAGTTTGTTCCACTCATCCACAACTCTATTACCAAACCAGTGCTTTCCTATATCCTTCCTGAATCTGAAATTTTCCAACTTGAAACCATTGCTGTGAGTCCTGTCTTGGCTGGAAATTTTCAGCACGCTATTTACATCCCCTTTATTTATTCCTGTTTTCCATTTATACACCTCAATCATATCCCCCCTAATTCTACGCCTTTCCTCATAGGGAAGATTTCTGGTACATGGGATCATCTTTGCCATCCTCCTCTGTACGTTTTCCAGAGCATTTATATCCATTCTGTAATACGGTGACCAGAACTGTGCAGCATAGTCTAAATGAGGCCTAACCAAGGATATATAGAGTTGAAGAACAACCTGAGGACTTCTAATATTTATACTTCTAGATATGAACCCAAGAATTCTGTTAGCTTTATTGCGAACACTAATGCACTGTTGTCTTGGTTTTAGATTACTGCTAACCAGAACTCCTAAATCCTTTTCGCAGTCAGTAGTAGTAAGATTTACATTATTTAGTTTATATATGGCATGGTTATTTACCTGTCCAACATTTAGAACTTTGCATTTGTCAATATTAAACTGCATCTGCCACTTCTCCGACCATTGCATCAGTCTATTCAAATCATCCTGCAGTGTTCTAGTGTCCTCTTTAGAATGAATTGGACGGCCTATTTTGGTGTCATCAGCAAATTTGCTTATGTCGCTATTTATTCCCTCATCTATGTCGTTTATGTAAATTGTGAACAACAACGGGCCCAACACTGACCCCTGAGGAACACCGCTTGTGACGTGCCCCCATTCTGATTTCTCCCCATTTATGCAAACTCTCTGCTGTCTATTTGTCAGCCATGCCTCTACCCAGGAAAAAATTCTCCTCCTATTCCGTGTGCCTTAAGATTCCTCAATAGCCTCTGATGTGGAACTCTATCGAAAGCCTTACTGAAGTCCATATACACAATATCATATTCATTACCATGATCTTCCTCCTCAAACACCTTAGTGAAAAAAGTTAGTAAATTCGTAAGACAGGAACGCCCCTTTGTAAAACCGTGTTGAGATTCATTAATCAGTCTGTGCCTGTCAAGACGGCTACGAATTGCTTCGGCAATTATTGATTCCATAAATTTTCCCACAGCCAAGGACCTGTCACCTGCCTTGTAAATAGGTATTACATTTGCCAGTTTCCAACAAGGAACTTTATCGGTCTAATACAGTCATACGAGCAGGAATGCATATACAGAAGTAGCATGAAAGTGAGTGTAATGTAGACGGGGTACATACAATGATTAGTGATGTCGCCTGACAGCTGTGTCCTGATGGACATTAAAGCTGCCTGTCTTGTGTACAAGTGTATTACTGAGGCAGATAACTAGGTTTTAATCAATGGTGTTCATTTAACTCTTTCTTAAGGATAAGTTGGCCGTTATTCCACTTGATTAAGTGATCTTCACTATTCCTGTGAATAACACAGCCAGTGTTATCATTGTCAGTATAGCAGGTGTATCTATGTTCACTGACACGGGTGTGCGTCTCTCTCTAGCTGTCTTTCCCAAATATATTGTCTCGCATCCTCCACATTGTGTAACATAAATTCCAGCTTTGGTTGCAACTAGACGTGTGGGTTTCTTGCTCGTGAAGTCACTTATGCTAGTTTACGGTGACAGTGGCTACTGGAAGATTGAACGTACAGAAAGCACTGGAATTGTTATTAGCCACCTTACTGTTAGAGAAGCTGACAAATGTTTCCAGAGATTTATCAAGCTTAGGGGTGTTGACAGTCCTCAGAACATGTCTAAAAGTCACTGACGAAAGGAAAGACGAAGTGTAGCTTTAATAACGCCTGGTGAATGTAATTGTATTCCCTTCAAGGTATTTGGGGCTACTTACTCAGCAGACCCTCAGAAAAACTCCGATGGCAACACTGCGTTTCGTCCAGTTGCCATGATTTCAGTGGAAGTGCATTCAATTGTCCTTATTAGTTGATTTCCGGGACACTCTGAGAGTGTTTTGCTAAATCTACACTGGAGTACATCTGTGAAGGGAAGTTTGTCTTCATACTTCTCTTCAAGAGTGCTGAGTTTTATGGAGGTCAGCGATGCTGAACTTCTTTGGTACTATGAAGAGATCATCCGCATACCACAACATAGGAATGAAGAGTGTGAACTTTTCCACATCCAGATACTCCATGTACAGGTAAGTTAGTACAGCGCTAACGAGGGACCTCGTTGTCTTGCCGAAGCTTTACCTGTATAAAATATTACCATAAGAAAAAATTAAGATGAACACACCTCAGCAATATCATCGAAATTCCCAGCAGGGGCAGAAAGATCGAGGTTGTCATTGATTATCCTGTAAAGATGTTCTGTAGCCTGGGTCTCGGGTACATTTGTAAATAAAGAAATATACAAACTTACCAATTTCTCGTTTTTCGTACTTACTGGTCGAACACTGTTAAGTTCACTGGAATATTTAAAAAGTGCGGTGCTGATCATTCCTTATTACCTTCGTCGTCTCTGATAACTACGGTGCTCTCAACTTTGACCAGGTGTTTGAGAGTGTTAATGTAGCACGTGGCAGTACAGGGTCTGAAAGTTCAGCTGTCAGCACATAGGGAAAGATAACCCTGACTCCTTGGATCAAGAACTCTTAATTAACAAGCATCAAGAAACCTCATTTAAAAGCAACTAGGTATTGTTACAAGATAACAAGTCAAGATGGGAAAGATCTCAGCATGAACTACGAATACTTGTTCAGGTGTGAAGTTCACACCACACTCTTATATTCTTGTTAGTTAATGACGGAGAACTCTTGATCCATGGAACTGGAGCTATCATAACCTTTCCTTAGATCAAACCATTTCCTTATATTGCAAGCTCCCGATGAAGTTCTGGAAACAGAGCGAAAAGCCTAGTGTTGCTTTTTGCTTGTTGCTGTTGTTTTTTGTTTGCGATTGTTTACATATTAATACACGAGTATCTGAAGGATTGGTTGGTTGCTGCAGGTGGAGGCGAGGTGAGGTACAACATATACTCTGGTGACCCCAACGGCTACTTCAGCATCGACAGTTTGAGTGGTATGTTGAGTACAGCGTCTCTCCTCGACCACGAGTCTCACCCCTTCGTCTTGCTCAACGTTCTGGCAACCGCTGGGAACCCTCCCACCTATGGTCACACTCAGGTCAGTACCCACACACCACTACCAGGTTAGTACCCACACACCACTGCCAGGTTAGTACCCCACACACCACTACCAGGTTAGTTCCCACACACCACCACCAGGTCAGTACCCCACACACCACTACCAGGTCAGTACCCCACACACCACTACCAGGTCAGTACCACCCACACCCTGTCGACCCCAACCACCACCAGGTCAGTACCCCCACACCCACCACCAGGTCAGTACAACCCACAGGTCATACCCAAAACTACCAGGTTAGTACCCACACGCCACTGCCAGGTTAGTTCCCACACCACCACCAGGTCAGTACCCCACACACCACTACCAGGTTAGTACCCACACCACCACCAGGTCAGTACCCACACACCACTACCAAGTTAGTACCCATACACCACTACCAGGTCAGTATCCACACACCACTACCAGGTCAGTATCCACACACCACTGCCAGGTTAGTACCACACACCACCACCAGGTCAGTACCCACACACCACTACCAGGTCAGTACCCCACACACCACCACCAGGTTAGTACCCACACCACCACCAGGTCAGTACCCACACACCACTGCCAAGTTAGTACCCATACACCACTACCAGGTTAGTACCCACACACCACTACCAGGTCAGTACCCACACACCACTGCCAGGTTAGTACCCACACACCACTGCCAGGTTAGTACCCATACACCACTACCAGGTTAGTATCCATATACTACTACCAGGTCAGTACCCATACACCACTACCAGGTTAGTACCCACACCACTACCAGGTCAGTACCCCACACACCACCACCAGGTTAGTACCCACTTACCACCACCAGGTTAGTACCCATACCCATACCACCCACACCACCAGGTCAATACCCCACTTACCACCACCAGGTTAGTACCCACTTACCACCACCAGGTTAGTACCCACACACCACCACCAGGTCAATACCCACACACTGCCAGGTCAGTACCCACACACCACTACCAGGTTAGTGCCCATACACCACTACCAGGTTAGTACCCACACAGCACCACCAGGTCAGTACCCACACACCACTTCCAGGTTAGTACCCATACACCACTACCAGGTTAGTACCCACACACCACCACAAGGTCAGTACCCACACACCACTAACAGGTTAGTACCCACACACCACCACCAGGTCAGTACCCACACACCACCACCAGGTCAGTACCCACACACCACTTCCAGATTAGTACCCACACACCACCACCAGGTCAGTACCCATACACACCACCACCAGGTCACTACCCACACACCACCAGATCAGTCCCCACACACCACTACCAGGTCAGTACCCGCACACCACCACCAGGTCAGTACCCACACACCACCCCCAGTCACTGCCCACACACCACCATAGACCCCACACACCTACATCAGCCCACACACCACCACTAGGTCACTGCCCACACACTACGACAAGTTCAGTGCCCACACATCACCAGGTCAGTGCCTACACACCAACAGCAGGTCTGTACCCCCACACCACCACTAGGTTAGTACCCACACACCACTACCAGGTTAGTACCCACACACCACTACCAGGTTAGTACCCACACACCACTACCAGGTTAGTACCCACACACCACTACCAGGTCTACCCACACACCGCCACCAGGTTAGTACCCACACACCACCACCAGGTCACTGCCCACACATCACCACCAGGTCAGGGCCCACACATCACCAGGTCAGTACCCACACACTACAAGGTCTCTACCCACACACCACCACCAGGTCACTGCCCACACATCACCACCAGGTCAGTACCCACAACTCACCAGGTTTGTACCCACACACCACTACAAGGTCTGTACCCACACATCGCCACCAGGTTAGTACCCACACACCACCAGGTCAGTGCCAACACACCACCACCAGGTCGGTGCCCACACATCACCAGGTCAGTACCCACACATTACTACCAGGTCTGTACCCACATACCACTGCTAGGTTAGTACCCACACACCACCACCAGGTCAGTACCCACACACCACCACCAGGTCAGTACCCACACACCACCACCAGGTCAGTACCCACAGACCACCACCAGTTCAATGCCCACACATCACCAGGTCTGTACCCACACACCACCACCAGGTTAGTACCCACACACCACTACCAGGTCTGTACCCACACCGCCACTAGGTTAGTACCCACACACCACCAGGTCAATACCCACACACCACTACCAGGTCAATACCCACACACCACCACCAGGTTAGTACCCACACACCACCACCAGGTCACTGCCAACACACCACCACCAGGTCAGTGCCCACACATCACCAGGTCAGTACCCACACACCAACAGCAGGTCTGTACCCACACACCACTACAAGGTCTGTACCCCACATACCACCACCACCAGGTTTGTACCCACACACCACTACCAGGTCTGTACCCACACACCACTACCAGGTCTGTACCCACACACCACCACCAGGTTAGTACCCACACACCACCAGGTCAGTACCCACACACCTCCACTAGGTCAGTACCCACACACCACTACGAGGTTAGTACCCACACACCACCACTAGGTCAGTACCCACACACCACAACTAGATCAGTGTTAACAGAGGCACACATGCAGGTCAGTACCCACACACTGCCAGGTCAGTACCCACACACCACCACTAGGTCAGTACCCACACACCACTACCAGGTCAGTATCCACACGCTACAACTAGATCAGTGTTTACACAGGTACACATGCAGGTCAGTACCCATACACTACCAGGTCAGTACCCACACACCACTACCAGGCTAGCACCCACATGCCACTACCAGGTTAGTACCCACACACCACTACCAGGTCAATATCCACACGCTATAACTAGATCAGTGTCAACACAGGTACACATGCAGGTTAGTGGATTCATGGATACAATAAAATAATATGTATTCACAATAATCTTAACTGTTTTCAGGTCAACATCAGTATTTACGACGTAAACGACAACGCGCCTGAGTTCGACGTACACTCCGTGAAGATCTCGGTGCGTGAGAACGCCGTGCTCAACGAAGCCATCTACGCGGCACATGCCACAGACCACGACTCCGGTGACAACGGCATCGTTACTTACAGCCTCATCCAGAACCCCGGGGGAATGTTTCTCATAGACGAGGTGAGGCCAGACACTGCTAACTCGAGGATAGGGCTTGTTTCCATCACTGAATAGTGTAGCACTTATTACTTGCGTTCTTTTATTGCTGAAGCTAAGGTTCGCCAAGAACCCCCGGCGGTGCGTTCATCACCGGCAAGGTTCATTAGATTGTCTTAATTTGAAACGACTGCAGTGTAAACCTTAAATTCACTTACAGGACTGTTTTCTTACCTCTCGAGATCTGTTTTTTTCTTTTATTTGTCTTATTGATCTGAGGTTAATGGACTGGAGCAAAAATATGCAGCAAATCTTATAGGCACATATGTAGATTAAACGTTCATACAGATAATACAGATAGACCACAATGTGCGTAGCTTGAGCAACCGATTCGTTTGTGTGTCACAGAATCAAGGTATCCTGATGCTGGCGGAGGAGCTGGATTATGAAAACGTACAGAAGTACACACTTGTGATCGGGGCGCAGGACAAGGGCGTACCCCTCCTTTCCTCCAACCTGACGGTGAATCTTGAGGTGCAGGACGTGAATGACAACCCTCCTGTCTTTGACAAGACCTCCTACGTAGTGAGTGTCCTGGAGTCGATGCCAGCCAACTCACAGTTCCTGCAGGTAACAGCTCTCGACCTCGACACTGGAAACAATGCCAGACTCACCTACACCATCCGCGAGAAGGAGTTCGAGAATGTCTTCGGCATCTTTCCAAATTCTGGCTCTCTCTACCTGAAGGAGGTTGGTACAGACTGACCGGGTTTGATGTCAGTTATTTTTCTAATGAATCGTTAAACTTGTGTATATTGTTTACCCTTAGTGAGCCCATGATAAACAAAAAGTGCTGAAACCTAACTATATTTCAGAGAACAGTTGAAGCATATTTGATAAGGTAACCTAACATTCAAACATCTTTTATCACTGTTGGTTTTAGTAGCAGTGTATCAGTGCTTTGACTGATCAGCTGTATTGTTCACGGGAGAGATTAGCATATATCTTGATACATGTAATCAAACTCTATTTTAGTTCCGACTCTATTCGCACTTGTTCATGTGTGTTCAGGTGTTGGATCGCGAGACACGGGACCGGTACGTGCTGACGGTGGTGGCCACGGACAACGGCACGCCGGTCTCTACCGCCTCAACCACCGTCACCATCAATGTCCTGGACGCCAACGACAACACCCCAGCCTTCTCCAGACAGGTAAGGTGTTCCTGTGTGTGTGTGTGTGTGTGTGTGTTATATATTTCCATGTCTTCAGACAGTAGTGGTGCCTCTCTTGCTTGTAGGTACATCTTCGCCTGCTTGTGGGCACTGCCCTCTACACAGTTCCGTGTCTCCTCTATACAGCTACTTATTTACTTCTCCAAACAGTATGTTGTCCCCTACACAACCAGCCTCCTTATATTGTTCCTTCCTTATATTGTTCCCTTCTTATGTTTATTGTTGTTAAGAACAAGATTTGGGTAAATTGTTAATATTAGTGATAATGGAACATAGGATCATTGGTGGTGGTGATCGACCCCCCCCCTCCCAGCGGATCGGTCCCAGACCAAGCCTCTGCTTGAGGGCCAGATCAGTAAGGCTGTTGGTGCCAGCGGCACGCATTCCACCGTATGCCCCACATTACGGCTCGTCTGAAACTAAGTTAAGGAAATTATTCAGTTCCATCTGGTAGAGAGCCAAGAAGAGTGTTGGTAACTCACCCTGTGTATGAAGGGAGGGTCTTGACTAGTGTTGCTTCCCTTACACTTACTGTATGTATGAGGGAAGGGTGTTGAAAAGTTTTGGTCCCCCCTTACACTTATGCACGGAGGTATGGTACTGAAGAATCTTGGTACCTTTACATTTACGCATGGGTTTGTGTGAGAGAAAAGCAGGTCAGGTGATTATCCTATTCACCCGCCTGTATGTCTTCCCCTGTTCACCCACCTGTATCCTTCTGGTCCACCTGTGCATCCCCCACACTAAGCCTCACACATGTTGTTTACCTCTGACAGATCTACGAGTTCACGGTGGAAGAGAACCTAGACACAGGTGCCGTGGTGGGCAGCGTGACGGCAGAAGACAGAGACCTGGGCAACAACGCCTCCCTCAGGTTCTCCCTCTCACCTGCAGACGGCTCCTTCCAGATTAACCCAGTCACAGGTAAGTCACTCTCTACAATCACCGTCACAGGTGAGTCGCTCTCTACCATCACCGTCACAGGTGAGTCACACTCTACCATCAGTGTCACAGGTGAGTCACTCCATCACCGTCACAGGTGAGTCACACTCTACCATCAGTGTCACAGGTGAGTCACTCCATCACCGTCACAGGCGAGTCACTCTCTACCATCAGTGTCACAGGTGAGTCACTCCATCACCGTCACAGGTGAGTCACTTTCTACCATCAGTGTCTCAACGGTGGCAGACAATAAACTTACATATATACACCATGGTTATTGAACATGTTTTTAGATGTGGTTGTGTAATAAGTGTATGCCAGGGTGTTGGGAAAATTGTGGCATTAAACGATCTGACACAGAGTGGGAATTGTCACAGTTGGTATTTGCTAATGACACAGTTCTTTTGGGGGATTCTGAAGACAAATTTCAGAGGTTGCATGACAAATTTGGGAGCCTATGTAAAAGGAAGAAATGAAAAGCAAACGTAGACAAGAAGAAGGTAAAGAGGGTAAGAGAAAGTCTAGGAAATAATAGGTGTATGACTTGAGGAATTATAGAGGCAGTGGGTGTATTTAGATATTTTGGAAAAATGAATGTGTAGTAGATGCGTCTATGAAAGTTGAGTTGAAATGTAGAACAGAAGAGGGGGGGGGGAAGTTGGTTGATGTGTGGAAAGACAGTTTATGTATGGAATGCACCAGGGTATAGTGGCGGGTTTGGAGTGCTTCATTGAAAAGTAAACTGGAGGCAGTGGAGATTGTAAGACTGAGAGCAATGTGTGGTGTGAATTTCATGCAAAGAATTCTGAGCGTAGAAATTGAAAGATGGGGAGTGACCAAGGTAATAATTCAGAATTTGTGGAGGAGTTGGTGAGGTGGGTTGGCCTTGTGTTAGTATTATATTCATGGGCAAGCACTAAGACCGTATGAGTTACGCAGCGCCTGGCGGGTGGACGGTGTGTCGGTCAGGTCAGAGGGAACTAGTCTGCCAGATAACAGTGTAACTTGTCAATGGTCCAAATCGGACCCAGACGTCGTCTAAAGTGCCAGTTATTTGTGTATTGTTCCAGTCATGGTATTATGCATTTCTGTTCTTTAACTGTTATTACATGTTGTTAAGTGTGGCGGTGTATGACAAGTGTGGCGGTGTATGACAAGTGTGATGGTGTATGACAAGTGTGATGGTGTATGACAAGTGTGATGGTGTATGACAAGTGTGATGGTGTATGACAAGTGTGATGGTGTATGACAAGTGTGATGGTGTATGACAAGTGTGATGGTGTATGACAAGTGTGATGGTGTATGACAAGTGTGAAGGTGTATGACAAGTGTGATGGTGTATGACAAGTGTGTTGGTGTATGACAAGTGTGATGGTGTATGACAAGTGTGTTGGTGTATGACAAGTGTGATGGTACGTACTATTTAAGGCAAATATCTCGATATACGTTGTGTAGGTTAGGTTACATTAGGTTAGGAGGTTATAGTTATAGTCAGGTGGTGCTGGTGTGGTGAACCTCTGGGAAATAACTTCAGCAAAAATACCTTGTTTTATTTTCCTGTTTGAACTACCATGACACGTTCCTCAGGAACCTTACATAAGTTCTCACTACTACCATGACTCCTTCCTCAGGAACCTCACATAAGTTCTCAATACTACCATGACACCTTCCTCAGAACCCTCACATAAGTTCTCACTACTACCATGACTCCTTCCTCAGGAACCTCACATAAGTTCTCACTACTACCATGACTCCTTCCTCGGGAACCTTATATAAGTTCTCACTACTACCATGGCTCCTTCCTCAGGCACCTCACATAAGTTCTCACTACACTACCATGACTTCTTCCTCAGGAACCTCACACAAGTTCTCACTACTACCATGACTCCTTCCTCAGGAACCTTGTATAAGTTCTCACTACTACCACGACTCATTCCTCAGGCACCTCACATAAGTCCTCACTACTACCATGACTGCTTCCTCAGGAACCTCGCAAAAATTCTCACTACTACCATGGCTTGTTCCCCAGGAACCTTATATAAGTTCTCACTACTACCATGGCTCCTTTCTCAGGAACCTCACATAAGTCCTCACTACTACCATTACTCCTTCCTCAGGAACTTCACAAGTTCTCACTATTACCATGACTCCCTCCACAGGAACCTCACATAAGTTCTCACTACCATGACTTGTTCTTCAGGAACCTCACATAAGTTCTCACTACTACCATGACTCCTTCCACAGGAACCTCACATAAGTTCTCACTACCATGACTTGTTCCTCAGGAACCTCACATAAGTTCTCACTACCATGACTTGTTCCTCAGGAACCTCACATAAGTTCTCACTACTACCATGACTCCTTCCTCAGGAACCTCACATAAGTTCTCACTACTACCATGACTCCTTCCTCAGGAACCTCACATAAGTTCTCACTACTATCACAACTACCATTAATTGTCCACTAATTGAAGAATATAGAGATAGACAGTATAATAACATATGTGACATGTCAATATATCTTATAAATGAAAATAAGATACCAAATATATTAAGCAAATTTCCTAAATTTGCTTGTAACAGATAAGTGAACTGTAGATATAAATCCGAATGTACTCGTGTTAACCCCTTAAGGCCTAGTTCATAGGCCTTTTTTGTATCCGTATATCCTTGCGCTACCCCCTACAGGATAGATATGGGGTGCATAATAAGGTATCCACTTCGGTAGCAAAATCTAAATATCCGTGACCATCCTAACACTTACGATTCTGGTTGAGACTCAGACGTATCTTGCGTACTCCTGCAGGAGAGATCGTGACGCGGGTTGCCCTGGACCGGGAATTGAAGGCTGTGTACGAGGTGACGGCTGAAGTGCACGACGAGGGACGTCCACCACGGCACACCCGAGCCACTGTCAGGGTCCTCGTGACGGACGTCAACGACAACTCCCCGACCTTCATTGAGCCCCGGGAACCCTCGGTCAGCGTGAGGGAGGAGCAGCCCGCTGGCACCGAGGTCCTGCAGGTACCTGACCTCACTTCACTCACTCTTTGTTCCTGTTGTTTCTTCAGTGAGGTAACTACCTTACCTGTTGTTTCTTCAGTGAGGTAACTACCTTACCTGTTGTTTCTTCAGTGAGGTAACTACCTTACCTGTTGTTTCTTCAGTGAGGTAACTACCTTACCTGTTGTTTCTTCAGTGAGGTAACTACCTTACCTGTTGTTTCTTCAGTGAGGTAACTACCTTACTGTTGTTTCTTCAGTGAGGTAACTACCTTACCTGTTGTTTCTTCAGTGAGGTAACTACCTTTCCTGTTGTTTCTTCAGTGAGGTAACTACCTTTCCTGTTGTTTCTTCAACGAGGTAGCAGCCTTTTAGTTCCTTTAGTATGGTACCTTACCTGTTATTACTGTAGTGTGTAATGGTCTCTGGTTTCTAGTGCACAGTGGTCTACTTTCTATTGTGTAATGGTCTTTAGTTTCTAGTGTGTAGTGGTCTTTAGTTTCTACTTTGCTGTAGTCTCTGTTTTCAAGCATGTGCAGCGTCTCAGTTTTTGTGTGTATTGATGTGTGGTCTCTGGTTTCTAGTGTGTAGTGGTCTCCTGTTTCTACTGTATCATACTCTCTGGTTTCTAGTGTATTGGTCTGGTTTCTAGAGTGTTACTATCTTTAGTTTTTAGTGTAGCTATCTTTGGTTTCTATTACGTGTAGTGGTCCCTTCTCTTGGTCGTGCGATGGTCGTTAATCTCTGTGTATACATGGTAGTGTTTCCTTCAAATTTTATAGAATTAGAAGTAAACTTATTCTGGATAGTTTGTATAATGGAGTGTGCCTATAATGGATAGTCAGGTCTTCTCTGATAGCTACAGCTGGTAGGCAGTCTTGGTCTCTTAGTGTCTATAAGAAATATTCAGATTTTTTTGTATTTGGTTTGGGAGAGCGTTACAGCTGCAGGTTGAGGTAATTACATTGTGTTCAATCTGAGTCTTAATCTGTTCTTCCTTAAGCATTGTTGGGAGAAGCCAGAGGTGAACGTGAAGTTCACGGCACAAATTGTGCCACATTTGGATATCTTAACTGCCGAAACGTTTCGCCTGTGCAACAGGCTTCTTCAGTCGAATTCAAGCTAATAGAACTTGGCAGATAATAGCGGTAACAGTAGTTTCGACGAGATCAGTCCATCAGCCTTGGAAGGAGGTGGTGGTCAGTCCCGCAGGCTTGAGGCACTGATTGCTTCTTATCAAGACTGACGGGCTGATCACGTCAAAAATATTACTTCGACTGTCCACATTCGACTAAAGAAACCTCTTCTGCAGACGAAATGTGTCGTCAGTAAAGATACCCAAGTGTTGCTTGTGGCATCTTATTCATCATGTCTTTGTTGATGAACTTCCTTCAGCCCACATGGATAATTAAGGCCATTTATGCTCCGAAGATCTTACGATCATCTCTTACGATCACTTAAGGTTCTTCGTTAGTTTTTCTGCGAACATTCCTCACCCGTTAGCTCTTGTCAAAGCCTCACCTTTATTTGCTGCTGCTATTTTTCCTATTAAGAGTCAGTCATTTAAGAGCTTGGCAAGTTCTTGATATGTACCTTTTAAAGAACGATCTATCCTTGAAGTACTTTGTTAAGAACTGCTGCCTAAGGAACTACCTAGTAGTTAACTAGTAACTAAATTACCTACCTCGTAATGAGCTAACTACCCAACAGTGAGTCAGTAAACAAAGAGTTCTCTTACAACTAGCCTACAACACAGTCATGATATCATAAGAAATATGAAGCAGTTAGCCCCCGTGTGTCATTCAGCTCAGGAGTTGCTGGAGACTCATCCTCTGCTCTCAAGACGAAGACGCTAGTTGCAACACAAAATGGGAAACGTTTCTCTCTGTGTGGAACGAAACGTTGATCCAGCAAACCCTTATTTTACAACGTGCTTCTTCATCTGCAGTACGTCATTTCGTTTGCCCTCCTTCCAATCTCGATTCAGACGAAACATAACAGTGCAAGAGTAGTGTTTATCATACAACGCGGTCACCATTATAGTCCTTGCCAGATAACTCAGGTGTACCGTCCACAGGTACGGGCGACGGACCGTGACGAAGGCAACAACGCCTCCATCACATACTCCTTCATCAGTAGCGAGGACAACGATGACGACGCCGCCTTCAACATCAACCCTGCCACTGGAGTCATCACCACCACCAAGGTCAGTACCCAGCTATCCCTTCATTCACCCAATGTCAGCCTCATCCCCTGCCATGCCTTCTACCTCTTATATTCACTCTTTCCTCACTCCTGCTTACTCCAAACAGTCGACGTTATATGCTGACTTTGTCATTTTAAGTCCTGATGGATCTTGTATTCGCAGTTATAATTCCTTGCGAAATTATTAAGAACCTTGTAATTATTGTCCTTTTCTCGTGCCAAGTTTTGAAGGGCCTTATGTTCTGTCTTTACATCCTGTCAGATCGTGAAAAACCTTACATTAACTTCTCTTACCTCTTGCTAACCCTGAAAACCCATCACCCCTTCTAAACCTGAGCAGACACAAACGTTCCACTAACTTCCTGTCCTGGCACTAGTCGATAATCTTCATTATCTGCATTATCGACTAGTTGCACATATTTTCATTAAACAGTAATAACTATTAACGTCACTAAAAAGTGTAGATCTCAACTCTAATAGCGTACATTTTTAACATTACTTATATAATAATTTGTGAATGGTAACTATTGGCATTATAAAAACAAAATTCTTAGAGACTGCATAGGAATGGCAGACAACAGGAGACCAGAAAGTGCATATCTCTGGATCTCTGTCTAGTTCTAGATAGCTGAGATTAGAATAGTATAGCATAAAGCTCTCCCCCGACCTCCACTCCCTTCGGCCATATTATAGGCTTGAAAAAGTTGATGAAACAAATATGTATAGAAAAACGCTGAGAGAGAGAAAGGAAGGGGATTTTTCTTTTTAATTTAGTAAAAAATGATACGTCAGCATGTGCTAGCACCCTGTTCTATATGATAGTTATATGGTAGGAACAAAAGCTGTTTGTTTCCCTGTCAAAAATCATCACACAAGATGTGATTCACAGTGTTGAAAAATGTTAGCTTGAGTAGAAGACTTCAGTACAGCAATGATATTGTTATTAAGATTCAGCAGCTATGACAGCTTAGAAGATTTCCATCTCTTTGGATGGCCTGTTTCATAAAGAGAGAGGAAGGGGTGGAGGCAAAATGGAGAGACGACGAGTGGATAGATGTAGTAATAAATATAGACGAATGAAACTGAGAAATGACGTCTAGATTATGTTTTGGCGGAAGTAACATTCTTGCGATGTTGCAGGTTCTGGACCACGAGGCCAAGCAGGTGTATCGGGTGACGGTGCTGGCCAGCGACCAGGGCAACCCACCTAAGAACGTTACCAAGGTCATACAAATTGAGGTGTTGGATATGAACGATAATCGGCCCACCTTCCCCGCCTCCTCGATGGTGTTTAAGGTGAAGGAGGGGGTGAGGGTGGGCGAAGAAGTAGGTTCGGTGATCGCAGTGGACAGAGACGGCGGCGAGAATGGCCGAGTTACCTACACTATTCTCACAGGAAACACTTATGGTACCTTTGACATCAACAAGACAACAGGACAGATGTTCACGGCCAAGCAAGTGGACTACGAGATGGCTACTGAGTACATGCTACAGGTGAAGGCCGTGGACTCCTCAGCTACCAACCCTCAAAGTTCTATCATCAATGTGAAGATAGAAGTCCAGGATAAGAACGATCAGTCTCCCATCTTCAAGGATGATCCCATCATCTTTTCTATCAGCGAGAACACCGCCATTGGCACGCCTGTGTGGAACTTCACGGCCACCGACCTGGACTCGGGTGACAACGGTTACGTGCAGTACTCGCTGACGCAACAGAGGCCTAAGAAAGTGTTCAAGCTCGACTCAACCACTGGGATGCTGACGCTGATGGCACCGCTGGACTACGAGGAACACCGTGAATACACACTAGTGGTTACTGCTGCCGACCAGCCCCGGGATGAGAGCCACCGTCGCCAGGCCTCCGTCACAGCTCGCATCATCATTGAGGACTACAACGATAACTCGCCGAAGTTTGTGTCTCGGGGACGTGTGGATATAATGGAAGACGAACCCCGGGGCTACCCCGTCCTGCATGTCATCGCCACAGACGAGGACTCCCGTGACAATGGCCGCGTCACCTACATTGTCAGCTCTGGCAACGAAGATGGAAGCTTCGCTCTGGACTATGAAACCGGGGTATTAAGCATAGTGAAGACTCTGAGATCGTGAGCGTGCCACTCAGTACCGCCTCAATGTGACTGCCAGCGATCATGGTCAACCACCTCGCTCCGCCACACAAGTCATAGAAGTTTTCATTGAAGACGTTAACGATAATCCTCCCAAGTTCAGTCAGGAAATGTATCGCGCCAACGTGTCTGAGGGCGCCCCACCTGGAACCTCCGTCATCCGTGTGACAGCAGCAGACCGCGACTATGGCACTAATAGCAACTTGACCTATATTATTCCAGCAGGGATCGGTGACAACAAATTTCGCATCAACCCAACCACTGGAGCCATCCACACCATGGCCACACTGGACCGCGAAGAGAAGGATCAATACACGTTGACTGTGTATGTACGTGACGGGTCCTTTCCTGCTCAGTACGACACCGCCTCGGTCTTGGTAACTCTCACTGATGTTAATGATCACGCGCCAGAGTTCCGAGACTCCTGCTACCCCTTACGAGTGCCTGAGAACACTGATCTCTCCGTCATTCACACAGTGCTAGCCACTGACAGGGATGCTGGCCTCAATGGCAAAGTTAGATACTCCATAACAGAAGGTAACATCAACAACAAATTCAGCATCGGCTCATACTCGGGGCAACTCTCCTCTCGACCGCTGGATCGAGAAGCACATGCCAAGTACTTCCTGGTGATTACGGCAGAGGATCGGGCATCATCAGCACTACGGGGCATTTGCAACATTACCATCACTGTTGAGGACCAAAATGACAACGACCCCAAGTTCTCTCAGAACCGGTACACAGCCACACTACAAGAGGACGCCCTGCCAGACACGACAGTGCTGACGGTGAGAGCTGTCGACGAAGACCATGGCGAGAATGCCCGTATTACCTACTCTCTCAGCAACGAGACACAGTGGCTCTTCAAGATAGACAACGAAACTGGCGTCATCACTACCGCTGGGTAAGCTTTGTTTTTAGCTAGAATTACTTGTTCTGTACAGATAATCTAAAAACTAATAAATTAATTTGAACACTTAGGAGTTACACAAACCATTTCTGAAACGTAAGAATATTGTTATGTATATTGATGTTAGTATTACCATATCCATATTAGCATTATCACTCCTGTTTTTTTGGTATATCTGTGTTGGAGACAGACACCCTTGGCTTGTAATGGATTCATTTATTCAGCTACCATCCATAGAAGACTTCTTACAGTGACTTAACGGGTTATATACATATATGTCTTTGAGAAGTGACGGGGCAGGTGAGCCTTACAGGTGAGAAGTAAGATAGACAGGGTTTGGCAGCACGTGGGTGTTTGACCCACCTTCTTCAACAGGAACTGCTATCTTGGGATAAACTCTCGATTAAGGATCGGGCACACATCTCGCCCATAGCCACATGTTTGCAAGTGTTGCTCCTTTGTGCAGCTGTGGGGTGCAGCTGATTATGGAATACATTTTAACTGCCCACAGCATACTATAGGTGAATAATCACAGTTAAATAACCCATATAATCCTCAAAGTGACCATCCCTCCTCAGGTACTTTGATCGGGAAAAACAAAATATGTATACTTTTGAGGTCCGAGCAACAGACGGCGGCCGCTACGACTCCCGCTCAGAGAAGGCACAAGTGCAGATTACCATCAGCGACGTGAACGACAACAAACCAGTGTTCACCCAGTACCCTTTCACCGTGGATGTGCCTGTGTACTCCCAGCCTGGGCACCAGCTGTTACAGGTGTCTGCCACGGACAAGGACGATGGTGTCAACGCAGATATTGTCTTCAGGTATGTTATTTCTGAGTTTCTACTTTCATCTTTGGTTAAATCTGTTTAGTCAAGGACACTTGAGCTAATAGTTTGTATGGGCCGTCTTAGCTTTTTTTCAAGTCTTGTAGTTTGTGTTCAGTTTTAGCTTATTAGTTTTTCTTACCTCGCACCTGTTAATTTTATAGTAAAGGCAGACTGCCTTAACTTTTCATTAAGTAAAATTAGTTTATACTCATCATGAAGGTAGACTCATTAAACTTTCCTTTAATGGAAAGTTAATTTATATCCAGAGGATAGGTAGAGAGGTAGAGATGGCGGTTGTCAGGGTTTGTTTAGGTTGCCTGTATATGTAGCAGGTTTGTTTAGGTTGCCTGTATATGTAGCAGGTTTGTTTAGGTTGCCCGTATATGTAGCAGGTTTGTTTAGCAACTCCAAGAGGAAAGACAATGAAAAATGTGTGAGGAGTTAAACATACTCTCCAGCATTATGCACTAGAATGCAGCAGGGTACACTATTATATTATTATTATCATCAAAACTAAGCGCTAAACCCGCAAGGGTCATACAGCACTGCAGGGTGGATGTGCTAAAGAAGGAATACATGAGGATCAGAAACCAATGAAGGTTAGGAGTGTGGGAACGGCAGAGTTAGCAAGGATGGTAGGGAGTACTAAAGGGAAGATATAATCAAAGTTGGTGTAATAAGGAAGTTTCTGACAAAAAGTCAGAAGGAGTCTGTGTCAAAGGTGGAACTGTCAGCGAGGAAGTCAGGTAAAGCAAGTGTTTTAGGGCGGTGGTGATGGCGAAAGTAAATTCTGCGTCCCTGCTGATAGATGGGACAGTCTGTTAAGAGATGATGAACTGACAATGAAACTTGCCAATTCTCACAGAGCGGTGCAGAACATTTTTCCATGATACACGTCAGTAAGATGTGTGTATCTGATACGAGGGCGGGAGAGCGAACATAAGAAGACCAGAAACCCAAACATGGTTTGACAGAATGCAATTTATTGTCAAGCAACTCAGACCACCTTTGTTGCCAACGGTTGTGAAGTTGTCTAGAGATTGCAGCAGCAGATTACAAAAATATAGAATTAATATCACTATTATTTATTCACATGGTTGAACTTTAGCGTAATATGACGTTTCACCTACACGAGAGTTTATCGAATACCTGAAAAAGCCTCATTTAGGTGAAATGTAATAGCAGTTAAAGTCTCCTCTTACTAATGAATATAGGTATGATGTGTAGCAACTATTTGACCCGAAATATATTGTATGCCTTCAGCGCCACTCACAGGATGAGTGGAACTGCCCATTTAGCTTGACTTTCAGTTATATATCTAACCGTCTGCATGACAGTTAGTTGGGAAGTATAATATAGATTTTCAGCAGGGAAGCTAATAAGTTGTTGCTTCAGTGAGGCTACAAAACATTCTTTAATTTTCCTTCTCGTCCCCCCAGTCTGGTGGATGAACCAGTAAACAACAAGTTTCGAATCAACCCCGAGACAGGGATCGTGACGGCGACGAGCCAGCTGGGACTGGAGAGTGGCCGCATCTTCCATCTAGAGGTGGTGGCGCAGGACCGAGGCCGTCCTCCACAGTCTTCCACAGGCTTAGTGGAGATACGAGTGGGTGACGCCACCTCCACTACCACACTCCAGTTTCCCAATGCCACATACTCCGCTGAGCTGGGCGAAAATGCTCCTGCTGGCTCCGATGTAGTGCAAGTGGCTGCCTTCCGTTCTGACGGCCGCAAGCAGAGGATAGCCTACAGCTTCGGCTCTGGCAACGAGGAAAACATCTTTGAAATCAATAGCAACAATGGCTTGATCCGCGTGCGGGACCCCCGCCGCCTGGACTACGAGACCATACCGCAGATGCGGCTCATCATCGTGGCACAGGCAGAGGGCGACACACCCCTCTATGCCTACACCAGCGTCTTTATCACCCTCATCGACATGAACGACAATGCCCCTCGCTTCACCCAGGACCGCTACGTATCGTCGGTGTGGGAGGGCTACAACAAGGGCGCCTACGTGATGCAGGTCTCCGCTACCGACGACGACACGGGAGTCAACGCCAACATTGTCTATCACATCGTCGACGGCAACCACGACAACGCCTTCGTAATAGATCCACCCTTCTCCGGGATTGTCAAGACCAACATTGTGCTTGACCGAGAGATACGTGACGCCTACAAGTTGACTATCATCGCTACTGACGAAGGTGTTCCCCAGCTGACCGGTACCTGCACTCTCAGGATCAATATTGTTGATGCTAACGACAACCAACCCACCTTCCCTCCACACTCTATTGTGCAGGTCTCTGAAGGTAAGTTATGCCACCACTACACTATCTTTATCACTTTATTTCACTGTCACTACACTTCACTGTCACTACACTTCACTGTCACTACACTTCACCATCATTATCACCTTCACAGGAAGTACGTAGCTGCTTTGCTCTTATTATGTTTATATTGCAAATGCGACTGTTAATATTGAAAAGATTTGTTTTTCAGCCTCCCGTCAGGGGCTTTTGATCCAGGGAGTTAGAGCTAACTTCGTGGGATCACACCTGACAACCTGTCGTTCCTCAGGTTAAGTTACTACTCCTACAGAATAAGATACGATGTATTTGTTACACAGAGTACACATGTACTAAGTATACCGAGTGTACATGTTCTCGGTAGATTGATATTATTAATATTGATTTATATGTGAAGCGCTAAACCCATGTTTGGGTTGCTCAGAGAGTGGCGGAGGCTCGATCCTCCGTCTGGTAATCATGGCTGACCTTACTCTCTCAAGAGGTCGCCAAGAAGCAACACTGAGAGAGACAGAGACAAGAAGAAGATTTCGTTCGGATTTTTAACCCCGGAGGGTTAGCCACCCAAGATAACCCAAGAAAGTCAGTGCGTCATCGAGGACTGTTAAGCACGTCAAGAAGTTAGAAAGTACAAAGGTTTGCAACAAGGCTAGTCCCAGAGCTCAGGGGAATGTCGTACGAGGAAAGGTTGAGGGAGATCGGACTGACGACACTGGAGGACAGAAGGGTCAGGGAACACATGATAACGACATACAAGATACTGCGGGGAATAGACAAGGTGGACAGAGATAGGATGTTCCAGAGAGGGGACACAGGGACAAGGGGTCACAACTGGAAGCTGAAGACTCAGACGAGTCACAGGGACGTTAGGAAGTATTTCTTCAGTCATAGAGTTGTCAGGAAGTGGAATAGCCTAGCAAGTGAAGTAGTGGAGGCAGGAACCATACATAGTTTTAAGAAGAGGTATGATACAGCTCAGGAAGCAGAGAAGAGGGCCTAGTAGCGATCAGTGAAGAGGCGGGCCAGGAGCTGAGTCTCGACCCCTGCAACCACAATTAGGTGAGTACTTATTTCCATTGGGGTCCTCAATCTTGTCCCCCAGGATGCGACCCACACCAGTCGACTAACACCCAGGTACCTATTTGCTGCTAGGTGAACATGACAACAGGTGTAAGGAAACGTGTCGAAATGTTTCCACCCGCCGGGAATCGAACCCGGGCCCTCCATGTGTGAAGTGGGAGCTTTAGCCACCAGGCCACCGGGCCACCGGAGGGGGGGGAAAGGAGAGAGAGAGAGAGGGGGGAAGAAGAAAGAAAGAGAGAGAGAAGGGAAGGAGAGAGGAGAGGGAGGAAGGAAGAGGAGGGAGGGAAGGGAAGGAGAGAGAGAGGGAGGAAGGGAAGGAGAGACAGAGGAGGAAGGAAAGGAGAGAGGGAGGGAGGAAGGAGAGAGAGAGAGGGAGGGAAGGAGAGAGAGAGAAGAGAAGGGAAGGAGAAGGAGAGGGAGGGAAGGAAAGAGAGAGAGAGAGGAGGAGAGAGAGAGAGAGAGGGAAGGAGAGGAGGGAGGGAATAGAGAGAAGGGAAGAGGAGAGGAGGAGGAAGGAGGAGATGGAGGGAGGGAAAGGAGAGAGAAAGAGAAGGGGAGAGAGAGGGAGGGAAGAGAGAGGGAGGGAGAAGGGAAGAAGAGAGAGGGAGAGAATTATGATTCGTATCTCCTGTATTTTAAAATACTGAGTTAATTTTAAATATTTTTAAGTATATTTTTTAAATATTCATTTATAAACAGTTTATTGTTCGTGTTATTTTTAACAAAAATTTTGCGAACTTTAAAAAATAATGATAACCAATAGTTTTTATTTCAAATCATTATACAGAAATATATAGTAATTTGGAAGTCCATAGTTAGCACAGTTTTGGGGTCTTATTAACCAATAATTATTTTAACACAAACTTATAGTAAATTGTTGCAATAACTTCGCCAAAAATTGCTTTAAAAAACTACACAATTAATATCATTGTAACTATGAAAACTTAGCATCTGTCACACTTTGTGGCTTCATGTTTCATGTGTGTGAAATAATGCTATCAAAATTTGAGCATAATTAAGCAAAATTATATCATGGTAATTGTAGCAAGGTTAAGTTTGATTTCTAAGTTAATTTTGATGGTGAAGGATAATGTAATAACATGTCATGGGATATGTATACCTAGTGAGGTATATGTCTCTCAATATATATGAAAGTTTACGTTAATCCCTTTTTTTGGGATTCAAGTATTCTTGACTGGTGGTGAACAAGTGACATGCAGCCTTAATGGCCCTCGTGTAGTCGATGAACTCTGGTCACATTTACTAATCATCGTGTTCCGTAGGAGCTGAGGTTGGCACAGTAATCACCACCATCACTGCCAATGATGTCGACACAAACCCAGCCATCACCTACAACTTCGCCGCTGACGGCAACCCATACAACATGTTCAGCATTGACAAGTTCAGCGGCAAGATCACCCTGGCTGTGCCGCTGGATCACGAAACCCTGGACCAGTACATGGTACAGGTGGAGGCGTCAGACACGGCTCACGTGGCCACCACCTCCATCACGGTGCAGGTGGTAGACGAGAACGACAACAGTCCCATCTTCACCCAGCAGGCCTACCAGGTGGCCCTCCCGGAGCTCTCCGTCCCTGGCACCTCTGTCATAAGGGTGAGTCGCCTTATAATACATATATATGATACTAGTTATCTCCCAAGAGGTTATCGCAAGAAAGTTTAGCTATTTTTTCAGCGTCTTAAGAATCCTAATAATATCAACCAGGAAGTTAATTAAATTATGTATTTTTAACACATCGGTCGTCTCCCACCAAGGCAGTGTGACGCGAAAAAAATAAAAACTTCATTTTTTTTTCTTGTTGCATTTAGTAATATATAGAGAAGGAGTTACTAGCGCCTTGTTCCCTTCCATCAATTATATTCTATAGAATAAATTTGTAGGGTATCAACGTTGAATGTTGGTGAATAGAGATATTGTGAAAGGCAACAAATATCATTAACCAATGTGTAGTCATGGATATATGAAACATGACAGAATTTCAAGTTGTTGCTACGAAAAAAATTGTATATATTGGTTATAGGTTGAGGTGATGTTTTCTCTTCTTGGAACCAACTAAATGTTTGAGATCATATTTACTTTCAGTTTGATGTAGTGTTTCCAGGTGACAAGACTCTTGTGACCTTCCTTGTGACTAATTATAACCCATCACTTGCTGCTGCTGCTACAGGTGAACGCGACGGACGCCGACGCAGGTGCCAACGCCAGGGTGACGTACAGTCTGGGCACGTCGTCTGACAGCGGGTTCTACATCAGTGAGAGGACAGGCGTCATCTACACCAACTCGTCCGTCCACTACAACCCCCGTCACCCCGTCATCCAGCTGGTGGTGACAGCCAGGGACGGAGGGAGACCTTCCCTCGCCGCCGTCGCCGCTGTCAGGATTCAGGTCACGGATGTCAATGACAATGCCCCCAAGTTCTCACGGGAAGTTTACACGTAAGATATATATTGTCTCTCGCTCACTTTTTTCAACATGCCATCACTGATCCGGCAATAACTAATTTTGGCTAGCGTAAGTATCGCACCCATTTTATGAGGCGCCTCATGAGTGTAGTTAACTCTTGCAGACCAATACGTCAGTTTCTTAAGGAATTTAAAGGTCTCAATGATGCTGGATTAGTGATGGTCGTATTAACTTTTCTGTGGCGGTGAGCGGAGGATCAAACCTGCACCTCAGCCCGTGTTAAATGATCCACACCGTTGTGTATAAATGTAATAATTTAACTAATGTGGTTAATTCCATTAGAAATTTTACGTCAGGTAGATCCATTTAACATTGAAGTTGGTGTTGATGAAGAGCTCTTGATCCCGAGATGTGGATCAACTCTTCCCTATCTTGCCTTAACCTTGATTACCTCCCATCTCTGGTGCTGGCATGAACCCTACGGGTTTACAGCTTCTCCATACATGTAATAATGGTTCACTATTATCACTTTAAAACTGCTCTCACCCCCACACTACTCTCACCCCACACTACTCTCACCCCACACTACTCTCACCCCCACACTACTCTCACCCCACACTACTCTCACCCCACACTACTCTCACCCCACACTACTCTCACCCCACACTACTCTCACCCCACACTACTCTCACCCCACACTCTCACCCCACACTACTCTCACCCCACACTACTCTCACCCCACACTACTCTCACCCCACACTACTCTCACGCCACACTGCTCTCACCCCACACTCACCCCCACACTACTCTCACCCACACTGCTCTCACCCCCACACTACTCTCACCCACACTAGCTCTCACCCCCACACTACTCTCACCCCACACTACTCTCACCCCACACACTCCACGCCACACTGCTCTCACCCCACACTACTCTCACCCCCACACTACTCTCACCCCCACACTACTCTCACCCCACACTACTCTCACCCCACACTACTCTCACCCCACACTACTCTCACCCCACACTAATCTCACCCCCACACTACTCTCACCCCACACAATCTCACCCCCACACTACTCTCACCCCACACCCACTCTCACCCCCACACTACTCACCCCACACTACTCTCACCCCACACTACTCTCACCCCCACACTACTCTCACCCCACACTACTCTCACCCCACCACTACTCTCACCCCCGCACTACTCTCACCCCCACACTACTCTCACCCCACACTACTCTCACCCCCCACTACTCTCACCCACACTACTCTCACCCCACACTACTCTCACCCCACACTACTCTCACCCCACACTACTCTCACCCCCACACTACTCTCACCCCACACTACTCTCACCCCCACACTACTCACCCCACACTACTCTCACCCCACACTACTCTCACCCCACACTACTCTCACCCCAACTACTCTCACCCCCTCCCTGCTCTCACTCCCTCACTGTCTCTCTCCCTCCACTGCTCTCACTCCCTCCCAGCTCCACACTCCCTCCACTGCTCCACACACTCCCTCCACTGCTCACACTCCCTCCACTGCTCTCACTCCCTCCACTGCTCTCACTCCCTCCACTGCTCACACTCCCTCCACTGCACACACTCCTCCACTCTCTCACTCCCTCCACTGCTCACACTCACTCCACTGCTCCTCACTACTGCTCTCCTCTGATCTCATTCTCACTCCTGGCTCTCACTCCCACTGCTCTCACACTCCCTCCACTGCTCTCACCACTCCACTCCACTGCTCTCCTCCACTGCTCACACTCCCTCCACTGCTTCTCACTCCCTCCACTGATTCTCACTCCCTCCACTGCTATCTCACTTCCCTCCTCTGCTCACACCCCTCCACTGCTCTCACACCTCACTGCACACTCCCACTCCCTCCACTTGCACTCCACTCCCTCTCACTGCTCTCCACTCCCTTCCACTGCTCTCACTCACCTCCCTCCACTGCTCACTCTCTCCACTGCTCTCACTCCCCCACTGCTCTCACTCCTCCACTGCTCTCACTCCCTCCACTGCTCTCACCTCCCTCCACTACTCCTCACACTCCCTCCACTGCTCCACTCCCTCTACATGCTCTCACTCCCTCCACTGCTCTCACTCCACTGCTCTCACTTCCTTCCACTGCTCTCACTTCCCTCCACTGCTCTCACTCCCTCCACTGCTCACACATCCCTCCACTGCTCTCACTCCTCACTGCTCACACTCACCTCCACTGCTCACGACTCCCCCACTTGCTCCACTCCCTCCACTGCTCTCACTCCCTCCACTGCTCTCACTCCCTCCACTGCTCTCACTTCCTCCACTGCTCTCACTCCCTCCACTGCTCTCACTCCCTCCACTGCTCTCACTCCCTCCACTGCTCTCACTCACCTCCACTGCTCTCAACTTCCCTCCACTCTCTCACTTCCTCCACTGCTCACACTCCCTCCACTGCTCACATTCCATCCACTGCTCTCACTCTCTCCACTGCTCTCACTCCCTCCACTGCTCTCACTCCACTGCTCTCACTCCCTCCACTTCTGTCACTCACTCCACTGCTCTCACTCCCTCCACTGCTCTCACTCCACTGCTCTCACTCCACTGCTCTCACTCCACTGCTCTCACTCTCTCCACTGCTCTCACTCTCTCCACTGCTCTCACTCCTCCACTGCTCTCACTCTCCCTCACTGCTCTCACTCATCCACTGCTCTCACCCCCTCCACTCTCACTCACTCCCTCCACTGCTCTCACTCCCTCCACTGCCTCTCACTCCCCTCCACTGCACTCACTCCCTCCACTGCTCTCACTCCCTCCACTGCTCTACACTCCCTCCACTGCACTCACTCCCTCCACTGTCTCTCACTCCCTCCACTGCTCTCACTCCCTCACTGCTCTCACTCCCTCCACTGCTCTCACTCCTCCACTGCTCTCACTCTCCTCCACTGCTCTCACATCCCTCCACTGCTCTCACTCCCTCCACTGCTCTCACTCCCTCCACTGCTCTCACTCCCTCCACTGCTCTCACTCCCTCCACTGCTCTCACTCCCTCCACTGCTCTCACATCCCTCCACTGCTCTCCACTCCACTCCACTGCTCACACTCCTCCACTGCTCTCACTCCCTCCACTCTCTCACTCCCTCCACTGCTTCTCACTCCCCTCCACTGCTCTCACTCCCCCTCTACCACTGCTCACTCTCCTCCACTGCTCTCACACTCCCTCCACTGCTCTCATTCTCCCTCCACTGCTCTCACACTCCCTGCTCTCACTCCTCCATCTGTATCCTCCACTGCTTCACACTCCCTCCACTGCTCCACCCATCTCCACTCCACTGCTCTCACTCTCTCCACTGCTCTCACTCTCTCCACTTCTCTCACTCCACTCTCTCACTCCCTCCACTCTCTCACTCCCTCCACATGCTCTCACTCCCTCCACTGCTCACCTCTCACTCCCCTCTCCACTGCCTCTCACTCCCTCCACTGCTCTCACTCCCTCCACTGCCCTCACTCCCTCCACTGCTCTCACTCCTCCACTGCTCTCATCTCTCCACTGCTCCACTCACTCCACTGCTCTCACTCCCACTGTTCTCACCTCACTGCTCCACTCCCTCGCTGCTCACTACTCCTCCACTGCTCACTCCCTCGCACTTCTCTCACTCCCTCCACTGCTCTCACTCCCTCCACTGCTCTCACTCCCTCCACTGCTCTCACTCCCCAACTGCTCTCACTCCCCCACTGCTCTCACTCCCCTCCACTGCTCACACTCCCTCCATCTGCTCACTCCTCTCCACTTCTCACTCCCTCCACTGCTCTCACTCTCCTCCACTGCACGTCACTCCTCACTGCTCTCACTCCCTCACTGCTCTCACTCCCTCCACTGCTCTCACTCCCCCTCCACTGCTCTCACTCCCTCACTGCCTCACTCCCTCACTGCTCTCACACTCCCTCCACTGCTCACACTCCCTCCACTGCCTCATCTCCCTCCACTGCTCTCACCTCCCCTCCACAGCTCACTCTCTCACTCCCTCCACTGCCTCACTCCCTCCACTGCTCTCACTCCCTCCACTGCTCTCACTCCTCCACTGCTCTCACTCCCTCCACGCTCTCACTCCCTCCACTGCTCACACTCCCTCCACTGCCACACTCCTCCACTGCTCTCACTCCCTCCACTGCTCTCACTCCCTCCACTGCTCTCTCCTCCCCTCCACTGCCTCTCACTCCCCTCCACTGCTCTCCTCCCTCTACTGCTCTCACTCCCTCCACTGCTCTCACTCCCTCCACTGCTCTCCTCCTCCACTGCTCTCACTCCCTCCACTGCTCATCCTCCACTGCTCTCACTCCCTCCACTGCTCTCATCCTCCACTGCTCTCACCCCTCCACTGCTCTCACTCCACTGCTCCACTCCCTCCACTGCTCCACTCCCCACTGCTACTCCTCCACTGCTCCATCTCCCTCCACTGCTCTCACTCACACTCCTCCACTGCTCTTCCACTGCTCTCACTCCTCCACTGCTCTCACTCCCGCTCCACTGATCTCACTTCCCTTCCACTGCTCTCACTCCCTCCACTGCTCTCACTCCCTCCACTGCTCTCACTCCTCACTGCTCTCACTCCTCCCTCCACTGCTTCTCACTCCCTCCACTGCTCCTCTCCCTCCACTGCTCTCCACTCCTCCCCTCCACTGCTCTCACTCCCTCATGCCATCCCTCTGCTCTCACTCCCTCCACTGCTCACACTCCCTCCACTGCTCACACTCCCTCCACTGCTCACACTCCCTCCACTGCTCTTTCACACTCTCATCCCTCCACTGCTCTCACTCCCTCCCACTGCCTCTCACTCCTTCCACTGCTCTCCCTCCACTGCTCTCACTCACTCCACTGCTCTCACTCACTCCACTGTCTCTCACTCCACTCCACTGCTCTCACTCCACTGCTCTCACTCTCTCCACTGCTCTCACTCTCTCCACTGCTCCACTCCCTCCACTGCTCTCACTCTCCTCCACTGCTCTCACTCCCCTGCTCTCACTTCCC